CCCCCGCCGGAGCCCCCCCCCGTGGCGGCGGCGGCGGCAGCAGCGCCTCCAGCGGCCGCGCCCTTCCCGTCCATATATACAGCGGGCGACGGCGGAGGCCTGGCGGCCGCGGCTCCATTGTTGCTGGTTTGCTGGGCGCTCATCATTTGAGTGCTGTGCCTGGGTTCCGTCTTGTTCCTGTTGTCTCTCGTAGGGCTGCGATGAAAGCTGCCTCTGTTATCGCTACTTGCCCCCCCCCCCGCTGGAACAACCGACTCGTTTGTTTCGTGAAGCCCTTTGCGTCGAGGAAAAAGTCAACACTACCCTTCTGCTTAACGCTACTACTCCCCCCCCCCCCCNGTGGTTTAACCTCGCTCAACGCACGGCCACCCCTACGAGATGCTCCGTCTCCTTCTCCGATGTGTTGGATCCCCCCCCCTACCACAATCAAAAGCCTCGCTGTCGCTGCCACAAATGAGGCGGCTCTCTCTCTATCAGTCACTCTCTAGACAGGTGATCACAACGAAGGTAAACGTGCAGTAAATTAAATCTCACACCACGAACAGCTAACAACGACAACGTCCCACACGAAAATGAATAAACTTCGAATTCGAATATGTATAACCCCCTCCCAAGATGCACGCGGCAGGAAGAGAGGTCAAAAGCTACACCCTAAACCCAGAATCTGCCTTTGGCTTCGTTCAACCCTGCTCGCTCTCTCTCGTCGTGTTGTGTTTTCAGACAAGGTCACGACGAATATCTTGTAGAGAGAGGATAATTGCTTCTACAGCGGTAGGCGAGGCCCGATTCGACAAGAGGGACTAGACGCAGCGAGCGAAGCTGACGATTTTGTCTTTTCCCCACTTGATGTTCCTCTTTGTGACTTCTATGCCCTCGTACCAACGGTCTCCTCTCCCGGTCCCTCCCCTAAGTTTGGGCTGCGGTTGAAGCAGCAAATGTTGTTCGAAGAAAATACAGCAGCGGACACGCGTTTCCTTGCGGCGGCAGCCCGCTTTTTTTTTCCGTCCCCGCTTTTTTCCCCCCTCAGTTGAGCGTAACCTCTCTCGGTCTCTCTCGCGCGCGCGGTTTCTCTCTCACTCACACTCTCCTACTCTCTGCTTGCTCTCTTCTTCTCAAGACTATCTGGAGCAGGCGGGGAGCACAGCAGTGTAGGTTGTAGACCAGCCGGCCCGCAAGGAGATGATCACGGGGCAGGTTGTCAGTCCATGGGATATCAAAGGTGTTTTGCCAATGTGACCACTGTTTTGTACTGAAATTTATGTAGAAAATAGGAAAGCGGCAATCAATCGCCGCCGTCTTGCTTGGAGAAGGCTTGTGGAGGTCGCTGCCCTGCCGAAGGAAACAACACGAATGCAATTGGGTCACCGCCACCACAACGAGAAACTTGGACACTCCGAGAGATGCCGGTACTCTGCGCACCCATCCCTGCCAGCTAGTGGAGTCTAAGTCCCATGTGAAAGCGCGTACTTGCAATATAGGTACGGACGGAGGTGAAAAAAACAGCTGCTCTGTGCACTCTCTTGGGTCTCTTCCCACCTGGATATGCGCGTAATGCTTGTTGTTCCTGCGGGTTTTACGGAAGCCTCGGTGTAGCGATAACGATATTTTCGATCTGATCACGGAAGTGGCGGATGAGGAGGATGCTTGGTTTGTTTTGATCTCTCTCAGGCAGAGGCAGCGACTTCGTTTGTCCTGCCGCGGGTGTGCGAGAATTGTCGCGCGCGCGGGAGTCAGCAAGAACGCCTGATTTGATTGTGAAAACCTTTTTGGACGTACGTAAGATGCCCCCGCTCCTCCCTCCTCCCTCCTCGAACAAAATACATTTTTCGTCGCGACAACACATACAGGGCTATGTCTACTGCTTTGAGAATTGGAGCTAAGCGAGTAGCTGCGGCCGCAGCGAGGCCTGCGCAGACGGCCCAACGAAGGGCCATGAGTGACGGACAGGCGCGCATCGAGGAGGCGCGGAAAATCTTCCAGGCGAACCCTCATCTTCACGGTGAGTGATGGCATTATGGAGGTACTGCTGTGTTGTGCGCCGGCCCCAGCGACAAGGTGTCATCACAAAGGGAAAACAGAAATGTCAAGAACAACGCCATGTCTTGGGGTAGCGCGAGAGGGATTACTTTCCTAACCACAGCAGTAGGTGAGATGCCTCACACGCGCGTCCCTCGTTTGCTTGGGACACAACGAGGTACCCATATTGCAAGGGTGTGCGCAATGTTACTCACAGACTCAGTCATCCCGTCGAGGCCTCTTCCCGCAGAGGGGGAGTGTTGCAGCAGTACCTGTAGTCTATGGTACATATTCTGCAGTCTAGTCTACCGTAGTCGCCATTCCAGCTCGCCCACCTTGGTCGGTTTTTGATGGATGTCGATGCAGCTGTTGGAGTGATTCGCTTGGTGAGACAGCAACAGCGGTCGGAAACAAGGGTCCCTACAAGCTTGTAGTGTTTTTTTTTATTTGCTTAATTGTTGTTGTTGTTTCTCACATAGACCACTTGCAACAGAACCCCCCGCACCAAAAAAAAAGCTCTGGGCGGAGGGGGGGTGGTGGTACAAAACAAATAAATTTAATTAATCCGCATTTTTTTTTACAAGACACACTCTACAACAGCAGCACCCGCGCCACGAGCAAGGGCACATAACCTCCACCTCCCATAGCAGTGGACACACCCCCGCACGCCGACACAACAGGAGACGCAGGGTGTACCCAGAAGCCGGAAAAGTCTTGAGATGTACAGCAGCACCCAGAGAAAATGCATTTGCAACTCACGGGTGTGCCGAGAGGTCGGTGGGGAGGGAGAAATGCGGGTGCCCATGGGTAAAAGAGCGGCCTACCAGAACGCACTCGGCCTGGCTGATGAAATCACCCTGCAAGACCCAAGAGTGTGGCTTGGTCATTTCCCAGCTGACGACGTGGAGGCTAGCAAGCAAGGTTCGGGGCCTTGTGGCACAAACGTCGTGGTGAAGCTAGTAGAAGGGGCCCTTCCGAGCCAAACGGACGAACAGATGTCTGCCGGTACCAAGGGGCAGCTGTTGTCGGCACTGCGGAGAAGCAACGCCATCAAGGAGCGCC